ACATACCATATTGCCTTTGCTGTGAAAGTTGCCATTATGTTTATTCAATAACTTAAGTTTGTTTTTTGTCTTGATGAACGCCTCACGCAGCAATTTTAAAGCAATTTGACGGTGGTCTGTAATATGCGCGACCACGCGATCCCGTAGTATCGCCTCTTACGACAAGCATAGGTTGCTGAAGAGCTATTCTACCCTGGATCTTCACGGGTCTTATTCAGTAGATGATGGATTGGTCTTAACGTCCATGATAACAGGATATACCAACATGTCAGCGTGATGTCATCCTCGTTTTTGCTGGTGCATTATGTCGTATTATACCTCAATCTCATTAAACGTTGATATTTCATCTGATATTTCTATTTTATGTCATATTTTGTCGTGATATGTATAAAATGTCTCCCAACTTCGACGGATAAAAAATAATAAAACTTTTGTTTCCGTATTGATTTGAATTCTAGAATGTAACATTTATCAATGTCAACAAGTTATCAATATGAATAAAATAGCTAGCAACTTCGTGTCTAGATTGCCCATTTTATTTCGATTTGTTGCATAGGGATGTACTTTCTGTACAGCAACTTTCTCATCGTTCTTTATGAATTTTCAATCTCCTTAAAATAAGACCCTTTCTGGTTAGGATCTGAATACACCTCCAACAGATGATCTTGCCATGTGAACAATAACTGAAAATTGGATGAAGGATAGGTGGCATCTTTAGCCAATCCGATGTCAGCTTTCATAAATGATTCGACTTCAGTTAACTGTTCATGTCCACATCGATTTGGAAATTTCGATTTGTACAAATGAAATCCAATCACAAAATACAAATATTCCTTAGATGGTATATTTGGTGTAGACGCAGGGAGCTCAGACACGATAAGCTGTATAACACAATATCACACAATATAATGGCGTGGTGTTATGTTTTGTCTATCGGAAGTCTCCGATTTTATTCGTTTCGAAAACCAGATATTCGATATGCATGTCTGAATGCTTTGCTTACTCGTATTGAGACTTAAGTAGCCTCGACACTGATTACCGTTCACCTGACACAATCTCCTAAAGAATTTAAGTATATACATAAAGTTTGGATGAGCAATGTTAATGTACGTTGCTCTTGTTTTCGGTTCGGTCTTTTTATTTTACTGTATTGAATGTCATTCAATGTATTAATTGAAGATACACATTCATGTAAATGTGTAGGAGAGGACGTTCTAGGTTATGATAATGTGTGCCCAATCCTTTTCATTAGAAGAATACATGTTGAAACTAAATCTCATATTGTAATGTCTTCAGATCTTCACGCAGAGGGTATCGGGTCTTATTTTAATGGTATTGGAATACCAAAACCCATGTAATCCCATATCTTCGTTTCAGATGTCCCAAGCGGGGAATTAACATGGCATATAATACTGATGAACTTAAAACTAACAACAAATGAAAGGGACTCTTCTCAACAACACTCTTCTCTTCGAAGCCTAAAATGAGATGACACAGGACGTGACATCTGACACATGTTAGTGCTGACATTGCAAGATGTGACGTCCCTGTGATGATGCGCGCTAGATTAGGCCTTCACCTTCCCATATTTGTCGTAAGAGGCGACCAAGAGGTTCTGGTGATCAGACTTGCTGACTTTGTTGATGCATGTCATCGTATTCCAATTGCGCAGACCGATGCACATGATGTCAATAACTGGATTTTCTGATCCACAATCAATTATTTACAGACCGCCGTCATATATGGGAAATACAGTTGTGTGCGGTGTTAAACAACAACAAAAACAAAAGAGATGAGGTGAAATGTGGTTTAACGTCTCGTTCAAGTGTAAAGCAAAGTGCATGCACGTGTGTGTGTATGTGTGATACCGACTGAGATGCCATGCCACAGTGTAACACGGATGCCAAACTCAGACATCACCGTGATAACATGTCCTTTCGTTTTGGTGTGAAGGAAAACCACTAGAATTACCCTAGAAGGGTCCAAGATGTTCCTTTAAATAATGTATTCATGAAAACACTGAAAAGACAATTTGTCATCAGGTATTACCAGAAACATATACATCTTTCATTGGATATTCTGAAAAATAACATGTTGAGGGTCATAAGACAACCAGGTAGACACAAAAAGCTGAATGTAACATGCTACATATTTTGACATCTTATCTTCACGAGCCATCGATCGTCAAAATTGTAATTGTTCAGCTCGTATTACCAATCGAACATTTTCATTCATATGAAAACGAAAATGTTCTATGTTCAGCACGTTTTATTAATTTCGAATTTTGTTGCTGTAAGATGGATAATTCCATTCAGTTTTTTCAACCCTTTTCTCATATGTAAATGCACATACAAATGTTAAAAGTCAGGTAGACACTTTTTTAGTCTTTGCCAAAAAACATAGCGCCTTTCTTGTCTATCTAAAGATCGCTAAAAACAATGTTAATTCCTAATACAAGCTATTTACAATCCGACAAAAACTTCTTGTGATAACCTGTCTTTATACCTATGTGTAAAGAGGAAACACTCGATTTTAACCTAGTGGTTCTGTTTAACGCACTTCACTAGCAGTGCCAAGGTTTGGTTATAAATTATCTATTCCTGAAAGTGCAGGAAACAATCATTTGTCCTCAGAAATTACCCCAAAATATACATCGTTCACTGGACATGGGTCATAAAAAGTAGTTAGGCATACAAAATATGCTGATGAAACAAACATGATCTGACAACCCACTAGCACGATGAATCGATCGCACAAAATGTATTTTTTCAGCTCGTATTGCCAATCGAACATTTTCGTTTCCAAGAAAAAGAAAATGTTCTTTGTTCATCGTTTTCTTTTACAAACAGTGAATGTTGCCGCTCTTTGTGCAACGAGAAAGGCAATGCAAAATTCTAATGAGTTTGTTTAACCCTTTCTCTGCTCGTATTCCCATCATGCTGTTAAGCAACACGACAGCATAACGGTGTGGGGGTTACTTTCAGGGTGACCCGATGTTTCATGAAATATAACAATCCCAATATTTTTAACTTAAAATTACAACAGAGAATGCGATACCGAAACCTTAGCACAAGGTGCAGGTAATTTAGAACTTCTAATTCTCGTAAACACAGGTTTCTACTTTGTCATCTACCACAGTAATAAGTTGACATATTACTCACGATTCTGAGTGTCGAAAACGTCACTAGCTCTCCATTCTACACATGCATCAGCAGGCCAGATATCGATTGTAGCAAACGCTTAAAAATTACATCACACCTCTTTCAAATAAATGGCTTTATATTTTGCAAGTGCAAATCCAGACACGACTCATATCCTCCACTTGGAGAATTTCAGTTATAAATTATCAAAGATCATTTGTCGATTGACATATTTATGTTGTTCATATAATGGGTAGGTTTCTCGGCAGGATAAAGCCAACGGATAAAAACGATATCCGTTGGGGTCATATGCGGATAGAGATGCAAATATCAAAGGTCAAGTAGGAACTACTTTCACTGTTTATAAACAAACATGGCGTCGCCCTCGTCATTCGGCGATCGAGTCAGAATTAAGCATCGGGAATCTGGATAAACTACAGGGATATTTGCTATCATTATCAAAAGAACAGTCAATATACTGAAAATCAGTGTTTAACTGTGACGTAGCTGAGGCACTTTATAAGTTTTGGCAACTTTGGTGTATAAATTTCGAAACAATTTTGCGAGTGCACGAGGCCTAGCCAAGCGGGATCAGTAGCCATATCTGTGCTTGTAGACCTCTGCGGCTTGAAACCTTCTCCAAAAATTAAAATAGTTGGATTTGGCCAAAATATGTTTGAATTGTTACCTTGTTTCGTTTTGTCGCTGTGTGTACATCTGACTCCACTTCTTAACGTTATGACAGGACAGACCGACTGTCAACAACATCTGACCGTGGCCGCGACGTCTCATAGACTAGGGTTAGAGTAGCTTCCCTTTGACAAAGGGCAGTTACTCTAGCGGACAGACCAATGGATTGCCGCGAAAGGCAATTAAAAACAATTGTTGTTTTGCGTATATGTTGCTTCGCCACTGTATAAGAAACAGATTTCAGTTGGAACTATATTGGCTACTGTCACTGTCCGACTGACACATCACTTACCCTGTGACGTAATAAATATTAATGCGCGCATTCTAGGAAAACTCACAATGTTTCGGTAATGTTTGTGAGAGAGGAAAAGCGATTTTCAAGCACAGAATTAAAGAATGACATTAAATGATAAAGAGGTTATCACGTTTGTGTGTTTGGGGATGGTAAATATCCTGTATTAGGAATAAACACTATGTATTTATTCCTAATGCAGGATATTTACCAACCCCAAACACACTCGCGTGATAACCTCTATATCTTTTTCTTAAGAAATTATTTTCAAAGTGCAATACGATCAGACGGGTCGTTCCGTGCAAGTAGTAATGTACATCAGCCTAGGACCGCTCGGGATTCTGGGACCGCTCAGGATTCTGGGACCAAGATGGCGGTACATCCGTTTCCGGTTACGTGACCTGCGCAGTGCATGATGGGTACCTGCGCGCGCATGCAAGATGGCGTCGCATCCGTGTCCGGTGGCGCGCGCATGCAAGATGGCGTCGCATCCGTGTCCGGTGGCGCACGCATGCAAGATGGCGGAACATCCGTGTCCGGGGAGGAGGGGGAAAACCCGGAGAAGCGCACGTACGAGGGGGAACAAGATCGACAGGGTTGTTGTTGTGGTGTGGTTCTAAACATAGAAATAGGCGTGGGGGTGGTGGTGGGGGTGGTGAAGGGAGGGAGGGAGGGAGGGAGGGAGGGGAGAAGGGGTGGGAGGGTCGTCAAAAAAAAGGAGGAAAAGCTGTCTTTCGGGAGAGATGGGTGGCCCTGAAAAGGGCCGTTGGAAAACAAACTGGAAACTGGAAACTAGAAACGGCAGGAACACTGGAACACTGGAAAAACTGCAAACGATGGGAAACGGGTAAAAACAGTGGGGCAGCATGGTCCAGGCGTTAGTCACTTTGTTCAGAGGATTTCACTTCTCCATCCTCTACTTCCATCTCATCCTCGGACGGAAGGTGTCGTCGGCGCTTTGAAACGTGATTTCGTGAGGGGGACCTGTTCCGTTTTCTTTTCTCTAGACGAGGTGTGATGCCTACCCGGAGTTGTGTGAGACATTCTTTTAGGTCGAGGACATCGGAATGCATGTCTTCGATGAGATGAAGCACTTGTGCCACGGGTGTCACGGGTGTCACGGGGACCACGGGGGTCACGGTTGCCACGGATGCCACGGGTGTCGACGTGGACGGTGTTGCTAACGTTTTCTTTCGACTGGGTTCTGGGCAATCTGCAGCGAAATGACCCAGGGCTCCACAGTTGTAACAGCGGTCCAGGCGATGGGGAGTCTTCTTTCGACGGGGTTCTGGGCAATCTGCAGCGAAATGACCCAGGGCTTCACAGTTGTAACAGTGACTGTTCAGCTTCGGACAGACATAGTGACGGTGACCTTGAGTGTGGCACTCGGTACATGTCACTTCAGGGCAGTACAGGTAACTGTGACTGTCGGTCTGGCACATCCTACAACTGTATCGAGTTGACATGATGGGTTTCATAGAATGCAGTGTGTGTGAGTGGCTTCGCTCTTGTTTTGTTTTTATAGGAGAGGCACTGACACCCTGCTTCCTGATTGGTTCCCCAGGCCGCGCCCCCGATTGGTTCGTTCTGGGGCCTGGTCCGCACCTCAGTTTTCTAAAACGACCCGACCCCTGTGTTTCTTTTCCATAGGAAATGGATTTTACCATGGGAGAGAAAGCACAACCCCGGTTCGGCCAATCAGAGCCCCGCCTGGTCCGAGCGCCGCTTCTGATTGGTCGACCATCCAGGCTTCGGATTGGTCCGATTTCGATCCGGTTTTTTATCGGGGTGTGCATTTCGATCCTGTTTTGTTTTTTCTTCATCCTACAGACAACATAACACGACTATGCGTTTTTAACAAAAAATTTAATCCCCCTGATCACATGAACCAACACCACAAAACAAAAGTCACAGGATGAGGGGGGACATCCATGTGATTTTTGTGAACACGAGGGATGGGGTGACCGCGAGGGTAGGAACGTCTGACCACTTTGAAAAAAAAAAAGAAACGTTGTCACTTGGGGTGAACAAGACACTCGACTCTTCGTTTCCGTGCTTCTTGGGACACCAAACGTCTGTATTTTTCGTTCACTTCTCCATCAGGACAAAACACACACAAGTATTCGCAGGGGACTTTGGCATGCTTCAGATGTTCTTTCCAGGGTTGGTCTGTGGCTTCCCATTGGCGGAGTGCCACACCGCAGCAATAACAGGTCACACAGTCCCCTCGTCCTGGATAGAAATAGCCAGCCATGGCCATGTCATAAGGGGCCTGGGTCATCTGTTGAGGCCACGTTTTAAAAGACCTCAGACGTTCTTGAAATGAATCATAGTGGGGATGAGAAGGTTGACACAAGGTGTAAGAAGGAAAAGGTCTCTCCAGAACGTCACCGAGTCGACACCTGTCGTCCATCAAGAGTGTGTCGTCCATCAAGAGTGAACGTTTTCTCGCTTCTTGTTCTCTCGCCTTTTCAGACACCCACTCGGAATCGGTGACGACATCTCGGGAGGATGACATGACATTCATAGAACGTCTTTGCTCCATGATGACGGTGACTTCACTGAAAGAAGGTCTGAGGGTTCGCCTGCTTTTATGAAACTCTCCACCCTACACCCTTCAACGGAAGGTCATGACTTTAGCTTTTATGAAACTCTCCACCCTACACCCTTCAACGGAAGGTCATGACTTTAGCTTTTATGAAACTCTCCATCTCCTCCACCTCATCACGTGACGTCATCCTGTGTTTGGGTTGACGGACACAAGGCATGATCCATGACATGATCCATGACATGACATGGCACACGGGGAGGGGTGTAGGGGGGATCGATGCGTCCTGGAATGACTGACACCAGGCAGCTGATCTTTCAAGCATGGCCTTTCTCTTTTATCTATTTTTATTTTAATGTTACACTTTGGTGTGCACTGACATGACAGAGGCACAGACAGACAGACAGACAGACGACGTCAACGACATCTCAACTCAACCTCTACCCTCGGTTCGGCACTCTATTGGAGTTGAGATCAATCAAGACACAAAGAGTCAGTTCAATCAATCACTGTTTAATCATGAAAAAAACCAATCACAACCCGATACAATGGAAATACGAAAAGTCAATGGAGGAGGGAGTGCTTTGCATGTCCCTACAACCACCGCCACAACAACAACAACAACAACAATAACGCGACCACGTTTTCCTCTTCCATCTTCAAGCTCTTCCATCTTCAAGTCCCTAAGAGGGGGTCCTCCCTCAAACCTGTGAGAGGCCCAACCGTTCAACACGTACAGTCTATGGCCTCCCTGAAACAGACATGACACATCACTTGATCACGGTTGCAGCTGACGTGTTGACAAAGTTCTTCGAGTGAAGAGGAGGATCACCATAAGATGTGATCCTCAGATGCGATAGGCATGTCATCATGTGTCACTATGCTGTCATAGGTCAACATACTACAAGTACAGTCTATGAGCTCCAGCTCACAGGCATGACACATCACTTGCCCGCTGTTGCAACTGATGTATCTTAACATGTTGTTGTGTCGGCAAACACGACATTCGCGTTGTAGGGGAGTGAGTTGAGCTTCTCCATAAGGATCCAGGTCAACGTTGTCATCATCATCATCATCGTCGCAAACCATGGGCGTACCTGAGGAGTAGACATGAACCTCTTCAGGGGATGCTGGTGACCAAGAAGCCTCGAGCAGGGGGAGCGTGTCCAGATCCATGGAAGGGAGAGTGGCCATCTTGAGCGCTTCATGATCTTCGAGGTCACCCGTCGCCATCGTCACAGGGGCATTCGGTGAATAGGTGGGCTCCCGAGGGGTTTGTTCCCACCACTGTTCTAGCACGGACTGGGCTGAACTGACATCAGGGGTCAATCATAAGGACAGAGGCCATTGAGGATAGGCATAGGTCATGCATATGAATCACATCAAGAATGACTGAGACAAAGAAGAGCAGGGTACTTACAGTTGTTCTTGAGGAGAGATCTTCAGAGATAATTTCTTCCGTGATCGTCTTTTTGCAGGTGTGGCAGGTTTCAAAAAGGATGTCCCCCTCGTGTCGATGTCTGTTGTCACCGCAGTCGTGGTTGCTGTGGCTGCTGTGGTGGTGGTGGTGGTGGTGGGGACTGGCGCTGTGGGGGTGGGGGTGGGGGTGGGGGTGGGGAGTGTTGCCGTTGCTGTGGGGGTCACCACGGCTGTGGGTTTGCGTATCTTTTTCTTCTGGATCTTCTTGATCGTCTTCTTCGATGTGCCTTTCTCGGGTTCAGTCAGCTTCCTCATCTTTGAACGTATCTGGTCGCACATCAGGTTGTCGCCCTTCGCACGTAACTTGGCGTACGCGTCGTCGGTCTTCATCTTTAAACACAGCAAGTCGTACACTTCACCCCACAGTTCAGCAGTCATGTTACCGTTCCCCTCTCCACTGCTTCCTTGGCCACTCATGTCGCTTCGTGTCTTGTCATTCAACCGTTTCGACATGTTGTTGTCCGGATGTTCTGTTCGTTGTTGTTGTTGTTGTTGTTTCTTTCCAAGTCTTCACGGAGGTACGTCAACACTTGATGGTACTCTCTCCAAACACGCGTTTCTTCCAGATAAAACGCCAACAACCAACACAACGTGAGGAACATCAATCAGAGGGGACGATGTTGTTGCTCGGTCCGTTCAGTGAAAAGTGATGACCGGAGAGCGTCGGTCGTATTAAAAGCCACGGAGGTCCTGCTTTCTGATTTCACCTTGGTTTTCCAAAACAGATCGACCCTTGTGTTTCTTTTCCATAGGGTTAGGCTTGTAGCGTGAGAGAGAAAGCACAACCTCGGTTCGACCAATCAGAGGCCACCCTGGCCCGAGCGTGGCCTCTGATTGGTCGATCATCCAGGCTTCGGATTGGTCCGATTTCGATCCGTTTTTTTCTGTAGGGGTCCATGTCGATTCAGTTTCGATCCGCTGTCATGAAAAATTTTAGTGAAAGTCGTCTCTGTACCCAAAGGGGAGCGTGTCTACAGGTAGCCCTGTGATGTCGTCGTAGACGATGCGTCGCTTGTCGTACACGGTACGATAGTCTTTTCGGGTGGGTCGGGTCACGAGTGCGTTTTCGTGCCGAGGGCCTTTTCGAATGATCTGATGAGGGTAATCCAAACTGATTTTCTCCTCCTCTTTCCCAGGCCGTTGTCCCAGTATCAGTCCTTTCATGGTGTCAAAGTTGAGATGGCGTTGGTTTCGGTAATTCAAAGTGAACCCTCGCACTTTGCAGGTCGTGCGCGTTCCATCGGGTCTGGGGTTCATTAACTCATAGCCATAGTTTTTGGGGCCTCCCGACACAAACGTCTTGATGGTGTTTCCGTCCAGTTCATCCGTAAACTCGCCCAACGAATGACCCAGCTCTGGATTCGCGTCGTGGGGTCGATGAATGTAAATGACGCTGTCCGTGTCAAAGTACAACACCCTGCGGTCCACCAGGGCAAGGGTCTCGTACAGTTTGAGACGTGCTTGGGCGGTGACCCAAGCAGCGATGGCGACGTTGAAATGAGAATGAGGGGTTTGGAATTCTTTCTGCTGGGTATAGGTCACTTCCACCATGTGTTCGTTGACCACGACCACATCCTCGATGGTATTGCGTTCATCCCCCCACAAGGCAAAGTACTGTACAGGATCGTTCATATACACGTTCTGACTGTAGTCTACCCGTTGCCCAAACTTGCCCCAGAGCGAATTCAGTTGCATCTTGGCAATCGTGCGACGTCCTGGATTTTTTTCGATGCGGTTCTTGTCCAACCCAATGCCTTCTTTGTCGTAGATCTCCTGGATGTACGAGTCGTGATCTGTACATCCTTCGGGGTATCCGCTGGCTTCGAGCTTCTCCTTGAAATGTCGATCGATGTAAGTGTCAAAGAGTCCCACTTGCTGGGTGTCGGGGTCATGCTGTGCAAAGGTGTCAAAATGCCAAACGTCGTAGATCTGAAGCACCCGGTAGTCATACTTCTTCACGGCTTCCTGGAGTTCTACGGTGGCGTACGTCCCCACCCATGACCTCTCTTCGTCCGTGTGCTCGCAGGGGGAGTCTGACCGGGTGTCGGCACACGTGCGGCACAAAGGACAGAGCAGTTTGCCACCCGATCTGTAAGGCAGTAGCGGATGGTAAAGTCGTTTCGGGGGTAAGACACGGCATTGGATCAGACCTTTCAGTTCAAACAACGTGTCCACAGGGGGCTGATGGAGAAGGGTCGGGTGTCCCGTGGGAAACGCTCCGGTCTTACAAATGTAGGGATAAAGGGAACAAATATCGATGTACTTGATGGTTTCACCTTCTTGGGCTTCGTAGCATAATCGCGTCGCATTGGTGCGTCCTCCATAGAAGGCGTCGCGAGGGTTGAGCGGCCCGGGGACGTGGATACAGCGGGGTCCCTGCAAGAAAGCACGCAGAGCGGAGTCCTCCCGTTGCAT